TAATTTAGTGCACCGTTGTAACTAGTTTAAAATATTATTTTCCAGTTATTATGATGTATTCTATTTCCTGCTGGAAAAGAAAAAAAGTCTGTACCTCATATATTAAAGAAAAAGATATTAATACAGACCTCATTTAACAGTGTTTTGAGATTTACTGTTGAAAAGCAGAAGTATATGTAACTCTTACTGGTGTGTTCTGTTTGAACTGGCAAGCACTAATATAGAAAATGCAGTCTCTAATGCCTAGTAATTTCCTCTTGAAATATGCTTGAGTAATTTTTTGATCAATTAAAATGTAAAACTCCTAGATTTTCTACTGGATGCATGAAAATACATTCTAAAAAATATTAACTCCAAATAATGGTGAATTCCTGTGTGTTTCTGAAATAAGAGATCATAAGAAGCTCATAAGGATTAATTTTAAAAATCGACTCCACTTATTTAACAGAACTGCTGCTACTGTTCACTTAAAAATGTAATGCTAGTTAGGAGCTTCCTTATTCTCTTAAAATTATGAATTATTTGAAGTAGTGAAAAAACCAATCATCTCTGTCAAATTTTTATATCTAATTCTTCTTAGTTGGCTGAAGAGGAGGATAGACACAAGCTTCCCTAAAGTTATTCAGTGAGCATTTAAATCTGGGTAAAGCTCTAACTCTCATCTTCTAGGATTTACAGTTGTTTTTTTTTTCACTGATGTGGTGTCTTAAACCCATGTGTAGGTGTGTAACCTATTCAAACTACACAACACAAAGAATTGGACAAAACAGTTCTCTACCACTGTGAGACCAAGACATTTTGTAATACAATTAAGAACGTTATTTTTTCCATGGAGGACTTTAAAATTCATTTTCAAATTAATTTTAGGAAACTGTATATAATTTTATTATACTCTGGTAGATCACTACAACAACTTTTTTTAAAAAAGCAACCAAAAAAAAGAACCATCTCCATAAAAAATCTATTCCTAAAAAACTGTTACAAAAGTATTAATTTTTGCTGCTTCAGACTTTGATTATAATGCTCACATCATGACAATTTGATGTTAATCCATTCAAGAAATGTTATATAGAAGGTTGTATGTTTGTTAGCAATTACAGGTATATCCATTGTTTTTGAAGTCTGATGTGAAGACTTTATTGCTTCCTTTCTGGTACTGCAGCCTCTAGAAGTGAAAACTCTAGGCTTCAAGACATCGATGTCTTCCTATTTTGGGAATAAGCAATCCCTAATCATACCTGACATTTTTGCCATTTTTCCATCACTGTCAGAATTATTTTCACCTTCTGCTCCTTTCAAGTTTTAAATCCTCTCTACACTGTACTCATACAGATTAGATTTTATTTTAAACATCTACATTTATATAAAAATGCAATAAAATGGTTTAGTTCAAGGATTGTTCTGACAGTCATCAGGATTATCAGCAAATCAAAATTTCCATAAATTTGACCATATCACTGACAAGAACACCTCAGAAATATTTTATAACTCTAATCTGATTTACATTTTTATTATTAACTGTATAAATTATTCAGCAATATGGTTCTGTTATAAAACTACTCACACGTATAGAATTCAGATGCTTAACTTAAACAAGCACTACTGATTTTTGTCCAGAAAAAGTCTAACAAATTCTGTTAAGAAATCTCCTCTTGCCTGCAGTGCAGAAGTGGTACACAATTTACCATTCGAGAAGTCAGACTCTGATAGCGTTGATTAGTTGTTCTTTTCTGTTACAAAGGGTAAACAGAAACCTGCACAACGGGTTGTGGGAGCTTGTTTCACACAAGGCTTTATTTCATTGCAATTTTCAGAATTAATCAGAAACTTGAAACTTTTCCTCAGAAAGGCCAGCTCCAGTATTTCATCTTCTCAGTTTTGACTGTGGAGGGTACAAAGCACTACAACTCTTACCACACACACAGAGGTGGATGGTAGCTGAAATACTGCACGCCTTCCAAAGGCTTAGTATGTCCTACCAGGTCTTACTTCCCAAGTTTATTTTGATACTTTTTCATTGTGTTTATCTTTAAATCATCATTGTATGCTGTTATCTCACTATTTAAGACTTGTGAATGTTGGTTCTCAGAAATTAATTCAAAGAAGTCAAAGCTACCTTGCCAAGTTTGACTTTCCTGTTCCAAGTTCATATTTTTTGTTAATAAAACTTTGTTGGACAGGACGTAATACTCAGTATCTAAGTATTTAAACTCAGAATGGAAAATAAAGTTTCATCTCCATATATTCGAAAATGAAGACAGAATGGTAAAACCATGCTGTTCTGCTTTCATTACCGCACACTACAATGAGGAAATAAAGAACTTGCTTGAGGAAAAGTAGTTTTATTCCTTCTTGGGCTGCTAAGATCACTATGTGAACACAATTAATTTTCTGAAACATCTGTGAAGCAACTACTACTATATCTATATTACAAGTAGGGAAACTGAGTCAGATAAAGGTTCTTATGGCTTAGGCATTACTGCATATAAATTAATAGCAATGCTAAGATCAATGCTGAAGAATTAGTAACTATTTGGTGTTGACCCAGTTCGCCAGAATATACGATCAGGGCACATTTTTTCCACATCACAGAAATTATTTTTGTAAACTGCAGTGCTGGACAACCCTGTAATTATGCAAAGAGCACTTTAGGGTTTAAAAAAAAAAAAGGCAATGATTATTGGCTCAACAGGTTTACAGGGAACTTCAGAAACTTGCTTTCACTACCAATAAGAGTCATTCAAACAGCCATCTGCTCAGGCCCTGATTCTCTCTTAGGTCTCTTGGTACTGCTTGGACAGTAGCGGACCATATAATGGAGCCCTTATAACATAAGAACTAGTTCTTATAGCAGCCTCAGAAACCCTTACTAACTTTAGAGAGGCTTTGTACTAGTGCAGAGATTAATTCATGTGGAACTAATTGCAGGACTGTGGCCTAAGTAAGAAACTGGTCTAGCACTGTTCGCTTGTTATCCAATTGTCAAAATGCAGTGCTCATTAAGTGCAGAAACAAAGGGTCCAGATGGATTCTTTATATCTGAGAAACGCGTCTCCCATATAAAAAGCAAATAACCAGTAACACTGCAGTGGAATTTAAAACCTTACTAAAAAGAAAGGAAACTCTAAGGCAGGTCTTTTAATCCGGAATTATTTGGAGGCTCTTCCTCTAACCATTTTATTATCTACTTTTAGCTAAAAAAATAATTTGTGCAAACTGCACTTTGACTACCTTAGTCTGTAGAACTAGAATGAGACTAAAGCAAAGGTCTTCCAGTCCCACTGCTCTCTTCCATAGTGTAAACTCCCTGCTTGGTTTCAATTGTGCTCTAATAACTTTCCTTCCATCCTGTAACACTGAGTTTTTGTCCTACACAAGACATTTCTGGACTCCTTTGACTTAACCAAGCTACTGAAGTCCCAAGCAGCATGATCAGACAGACAAGGGTCACTAACATGGGAGTGAAAGCTGTTTCCTTACATAAGCAGACAGCAATAAGCCAGTGCAGAAGGTGTAAGAGCATATTTTAGCTAGTAAAATTTGGTATGAAGATATTATCTGCTGTATGAATGTACTAATCTAAAATCTGATTTTAAAAAAGCTAAACCACAAAGTGATTAAGAATTGGAACAAGCAGTTTCCAGCACCGTTCAATGTTATGGCATTTTCAGGATGTACCCAAGTTCTAATATGATCTAGAAGTGAGCTTGAATGCTCTGCTGCCTAACATCACTCAGGATGCTGCTTTATGAAAAGTTATAGGAAATCAATGTCTGCCCATCTGCCAAAAAGGGCAGTTCCACTTTTCTCCAAAGCACATGTCTACGCATTGCCTTGCAAAGGTATCAACCATGCATGCAGCCATGCAGACACATCACCTCAGTGAACTGACCTGGCAGAAAGTTAACCCAGTAAAATAAATTCTTTTGAAGTAGGACCAGTTCTCTGATCCAGCTTTCTATACAGCCTCAATTAGCACAAATGCCAGTACTAAATGACAAATAAGGAAGAACATGGAGTCAGGAATAGCTGGAAGGAGGGACAGTTGAATTTCCCAGTCTGCATGGTTAAGGTGTTCCAGATAAAGCCATGTGTTGCCTGGCTGCATATAGAAGACTTATATCAGATAGGCACCAAGCCATTTAACATTCAGTAAATTGTAACTAGTTTTGTCAATTAACCAAATAATTAACCAAACAAGCAAGTAAAGCAGTTGGTACTAAGTACAGCACAAAATCTATGAAGCTCTGGCTGAGAAGTTTAGGTTGCCACATGTCAGCCTGTCTATGGCTTCTACTTGTAAATACATAGCAAGCACCATTTGTCTGCTCTCAGTAGGATAAATGGATCCAGGCACTCCCTGACTCCCCTCCCTCAGACATTGAAGCCCACCGCTTAATCATCCAGTAAGACCTCAATTAGCTGCTTCTTTGCAAGTGCCTGTGTTTCTGAAGGAAGGCATATGTAAAGCTGCTCACTTCCTGTTTTGCTGTGTAAAGACCTAACCAGAAGGGGATTCTCAAATACATCTGCCCTGGTTATCTCATCCCATCTAAAGCAAAGCCACAGGATCAGGCTCCACCGAGTAAACAGGCATGGACAAGACTTCTGAAGGTTGGTAGCTAGTATGTGTATGCATTGCATATACAATTACACACAATATCCAGAATTCAAAGCACTTCACCACAGTAGCAGAGTCTGTGTCCTTTTCATTAATGCTCAAGTTGTACCTTTTACTTTACTCCAGATTTAGAAAAATAGCAGCAAGAAAAACCTTCTGAGTCTGTTACAGTGAAAAATAATTTATGGCCTCAGTAGGACTACTCATAATAGTAGTTGATATTTGAGAGAGCAAATCAGGAGTGCAGCCTGGGGTATAATAAAAACTGCATATTTTTACATGCATCAGATACGTCAAGTAAGTACTATACAGATATTCATGTTCAGATGCTACTACTACTTCAGAAGAGGAAGTCATGATATCTTTTCCCTCTCTTCAGGTGTAATCCTTGGATTCTCTCTCCGATCATATAAGATGAGCTATCGAGAAGTCAAGTACTTTTCATTTCCAGGAGAACTGCTCATGAGAATGCTGCAAATGCTGGTCTTGCCACTGATTGTATCCAGTTTAGTCACAGGTAAAAAAAAAACAAAAAAGAAACTGTTTTTTTTGTTCTTTAAAATAATTTGATAAAGATGCACTTGCCAAATCATAAAAAATGAACATTCTTTGTCCTAGAAGTGTTACAACCTGCAGAAGGATATACCTTTGCTATTTCTATTTCAGAGACAATGTAACAAGAGGCTTGATTTAATATACAAAGAAACTAAAAGATGCTTTTCCCAATTCCAAGATAATCTAACTGTACAAGTTACTACATGTAGCTGCTATGAGGCTGACTCTGTACTCCACTTTATTCTCTTACTTTCCGAATGAATATTTCCTCTACAATGTCCTACTGTGATCAAAGATAATGTATCTCAGAAAAATAGTTCCAAGACGCAAGAAAGTTTAAATTATTGATTGTGGGCAGTAACCCATATAGATCTAAACATAGATCTATAAAACATCTGCCTGCCTCCTAATCTTTTAGCCACAGATTAGAAAATATAGATGGTAGATGGCATAGATTGGAAGAAACTTCATTCCATCATTTCTGGTTTTCTGTCTTCTGGTCAGCAACTCTATTAAGCTTCAAGTCTTCTTTACTAAGTTGTTCCTTAAGCTAGGGATTTAATAATTCAATTCTTATTATGACATATGCCTTGTAATTCCACCTAAGTTTCATGGAAGAGCACTCAGATTTTTTATGAATGTTCAGGATGTACTTGTGATGTATTTAACCTATTCATTATCTGAAGAAAAGAAAGCATGGACTTTGGTCTATCAGCAAATCAGTGGTACAGCTTGGAAAACTTAGACAAAACCACCCACTGTGCAGTCCTAGGATCTAAACACCTAATGCACCACCTTGATTGTCAGAGGATCCAGAGACTATAAGCTGTTCTCTATTTCATTGATTTTCAAATATTTTAATAAGATCTCCTCTTAAAAAATGCAAATGAGCATAGTCTCCATCTTCACAGATACCAAAGATAGTATATATATTAACAGTATAGATAGTAAGTATGTTCTGCTGTTAATACAACAGCAGAAAACTAGGGTATTTTCAGTTACAAAATAATTTGCTTTCACATATTTCAAGGAGGAAATAAAGCTTGTGTTTCTATATGCACCTATTATACGGATACTGAAAGCTTAATGAACACTTAAACTAGAAAGAAATTTATAAATCTTGTAGGGCAAACAATGACAGGTTTTATTCCCAGTCTATAATTCTTTTGCATATTTTATCTCCTTGCTGCCTCCTTGTCCCTTTCACCTGCAGAACTCTCCAGCTTGGCCCAACACTGATAGAGGAGCCATTAAAAGTAGAAAAGGAGAGGCATTTACTCTTTTTCAGTGATGGCTGAGATGGGCACTGCTGCTCCATTTTGTAGGATGAGTTACTGCAGGAGAAATTACCTGCTCAATTCCTTGTAACTCTGCATCCACACTGATTCTCTGAGAGAGCTCAAGGTAAAAGCTGTGGAAAACTGGTTTACTACACTGAACAATATCCCATTTAACATACAAATTGGTTTGGTTTTTTTAAAGATAGTCTTACATCTTTGCTGCAGAACTCTCATACTCAAGCAAATATAGAGGTATTATTGAATATCTAAATAATAATGAGCCATAATATTTACAGGTGTACTACTGTGCAACTTTATAGACACTGTTGTTTTCTTTTTTTTACACATTATAGGATAATTCATTGGATAAAAGTCTTATGCTTCTTAAGTCAGTCTTAAGACCACTTTTGGCATCCATGAGCCAAATTTCTTATTTCCTGTATTTTGTTTGGCAAAGCAAAGTGGATGCCTCTTAATGAACCTCAGAAAGATTCCTCCAGGGTCTTGCACGCTGATACTATAATTAGCTTCTTCTAATTGTAAATGATCTGAATAAATATTTTTTCCTGTTTGCAGGCATTACAGGGTTTCCAAAGTAGATGTTGTGAGTTTCCATTTGTATTGATGTAAGTGTGCTCAATATAACTGGTTATGACAATATTGGAACATGTGGTCTCTGAGGTATTAGAAATAGTCAGTGGATGGTCACATTTCTTTGCAAACATTGGGACTGTCAAAGGCATAAGAACAATAAAAACAAAGTAATTATTATAGAAGCTATGGGCTATTATGTAAGTGAAAGATAAAATGAGAAACTGAAGACTTCTGCTATACAGGTAGACAGTTTTGATGGTTATTTGCAGACTCTTGGGTAAAACAGCTATAAGAGGTGAAGTCAACCCAGCCACATTATAGCCTGTACTGGTACTTTCATGCAAGAAACAATGCAGATTCATATTCAGAGGTTTTTACTCATATTTGCCTTATGACTTACCATTATTATACGTGGCTCAAGCAAGTATGCAATTTTCTCCATTAGATTCTATCTTCTGACATGTATGTTACCAGGCATGTACTAACATCTGTTTGGAAGAAAATAGAGGTTATTTGCATACCTTTCACCATCTTTTACTGTTTATAGAAAAACATGATTATACAAATATCTGTATGCTTTAATATCTGTGGTTTAGACACAAATCCAGCTGCATACTCTATGATGGTCTTTACAGTCTTTCAAATGGGAGAACACCCAAGTCAACATTTCCAGTCAGTATCTCTTACAAAAAGTCTAAGGCAAAATTAAAACACAGTATATGGGGGGCAGCATAAATAACCAAAGAAAGACGATTAAATTCCCATTTGGATTATTTTATGGCCAAATCTGAACTGAATTCTTATGTGAACACATGGCTCTCCATTTTGTTCCATTTCTGTTTTGAATTTGCTGCAATTATAGGAGTTAAAAATATTTTATATCATCTTATTTCATTATAACTTGAAACATTTGACATGAACAAATTGCTTGGCATAAATATTTTAAAATATGCCTTGTCCCTAAAAGGTACAAAAAGAAATATATATGCATATGATAACAATTCAACTCATCATGAAATAAGCAAAGACTCCAAAATTTGCACTTGCATTAAAAGCACTATTTGTTAAAATTTTTTGAGCTGTTACAGCAAGTTCATAATGAAATTAAGATTCCAACCCTTAAAACTGGCCCACAAGTTTTATCTGCATGTTTCAGCTATTCACTGAATATAAGGTCATCAGAACAAAGTACATTTTCTTAACCAAACTATATATTTCCTGAAATCATATTCACAAAAATTATTCATGACCGGTCTTTATAAAAAGCATACTTGGAGCATAATATTTGTGATAAATAATAAAGTTAGAGAAATCTTATAAGGATTATTTGCAAATATTTTGCAGAGTTCTGCTCATAGCTCAGTTTGACAGGCTGCTTGTACAGGGACCACTACTTCTAAATGCAAGTAAACTAGGATTAAATTCTGTGCATTTCTTTCCATTATCTTTGTCTGGTAAAGTATAGCAAAGCATAAAAAGCCCAGTCAAGATCCGAGATGAATTTTCACTGCAAATTGAAGAAACAGAAAGAAAATAGTTTATTTACTAAGGTAA